TGATGATCAGTGACATGACATAAGAAGGAAAATAGGGCATTCTAACAGGATTGTGTAGGTCAGCTATGAACACACATTGGAAAGTGAAGATGACAATCTCCTAAATCTGTATGTACTGCGGCTAGGGTGGATGTGTGTCCTGTGTTCAGCAGTAGCAGTCATTTTTTCTCCTTCTTGGTAGCTGGTGCAGCACTGTGTTTTTGACTTTTGGCCTGGGAACGGTGCTGGTAACACCGATGTTTTTAGTTACTGCTCAAATGTTTGGTCTGGCCAAGGACTTTGTGAGCCTCATGCTCTGCCAGGGAGGAGGGGAAGCTGGGAGGAAGCAGGGACAGGACACCTGACCCAAACTGACCAAAGAGGTATTCCATACCACAGCACGTCATGCCCAGGATGTAACTGAGAGTTACCCTAAGGGCTAGAGGACTGCGGGGTTGGAGGAGGTATTGGTTGGTGCTTGGCTGGGCTGGGGGGGGTGAGTTATCGGTCGGCGGGTGGTGAGGTGTTGTATTCTCTTCCCTTCTTATTTTCTTTATTATTACTGGTGGTAGCAGCAGTGGTTTTGTGTTATACCTTAGTTACTAAACTGTTCTTATCTCAACCCGTGGGAGTTGCATTCTTTTGATTCTTCTTCCCATCCCTCTGGGAGCAGGGGGAGGGCAAAAAGGGGGGGAGTGAGAGAGCGACTGCATGATTTATGGCTGACTTTGTTTAAACCACGACAATGTGTTACAGAAAATCAGAAGACCCAGTGGTGGCAGGTTTGCATCCCAACAGTTTCTCTGCTAGGTTAGGTCAGAACTATCAACCTTAACTCCCTCTGAAACAAGAGATCACTCAACCAAATTTTAGGAAAAATAACCGTTTTTCAGCCAAGATCCTTTTAAAAAGATTCATTGCACTTAACAGCTTGTGCATATTAATCTGTACAGTTTGGAAAGAACCAAATTCTCTCCTTTGTCAGAAGGCCAATATTTTGGCAGAGTTAAGTATGCTGAAATTGTGCCCAGAAGGCAAGGAAGCCCATGGGTGAAAGCTGCAGCAGCCAAGAAGCAGTGTAGCTTTGTTAGATTTGGTTTTCTGTAGGGGTATATTTTCTTATGTTCCTTTTTATTCCAGCTTTGTAATGAAATGTGTGCTGTTGTACTCTGCTAGAATAACTTTTTTTTTCCCTGAAATATCAAAAGTGACCCCTGGGGATCTAGCAGGAGCTGGGCTTCTTTCCCCTAAGGAGCAGCAGATCTGCAGTGATGCATAGGATCAACTCATATTTTGGGGTTCTTAAGAGTTACCTTCTGTGACAGGATTTGATTTAGTGTTGTAATATGAGGTAAGGGGTTAGTGTAGAGAAACTTGCTTTGGCATCTGCAGCTACTTTCCCGGAGAGTAGCAGGCAATGGATAGATTTATCGTTTGAGGAATACCCACTTGCACTGCATCTGACGAAGGGTTGTTGGTATTGCTTATTAAGGCTTTTCTCTAAGAAATGCCTATTCCTTCATCCCTGCCCTAATTTTCCATGTGTCCTCTATATGCTTAACTAAAAGCTTTTCTTCATAAAGCTTAATTATTTTTTTCTTTTCCTTTTTATGTGTCTGACGAGTAACTTCTAGAGAGAGTATCCATTTCAGGTGCATTTATAGAGTTTGGCATGTGTGCCCCTGGATGAGTACAGGGAAGATGGAAAGAAACTGCATTTTGTGGTTTTGTTCTCTCTTGCCTTGAGTATTTCTATTTTTTGTGTCTTAAAGAAGAAGCCAGAAAGAAACATGGGGAGTGAGATACATGATGGTTTGATTTGGCTTCCTGAAAAGCCACTTGTTATTTTGTCCTTGGCTTTCTCCTTGTAAAAGCAAAACACAGAGGGTTTTCTAGCAATATATCCTGGTGACCTTCTCATCAGACAGTGTGCTGGGTATGTCTGGGATAATTTTCTTTGTAGCAGCTGGTATGGAGCTGTGTTTTGGGTTTGTGCTTGAAACAGTGCTGTAATTCAGGGATGTTTTTGTTATTACTGCTTCTGAGTGGTGCGTAGTTGCTGTCTGGAGTTAAAAGGCAGCCAGGAATGTCTAAATGCTACATCCTTGGTACTTTACCAGAGTGTTTTGCAAAGCTTTATTCATTGTTACAAGCCTTTAGGTGGGCAAAGGCTCATCTTGGCACAGTTAAGCTGAAGGATTTATATGTAATTATAACTAATATTAACTGATCTGGAAGTTCTTTTTTAGCGATATGTGATTAAGATTAATAGATACATCATAAGTGGTACTCTGGCAGCCACCTATAATTGTTCAAAGGATGGTTTTTAAATTGGCCTTTTTGTGTAGCATGTTGGTAATGGGTGTTACGCTTTTCCCAAGCCTTTGCAGGGGGATTTGTGTGACAACAAAATGGGGTCAAGATATGGGGTGTTGTGTGACCATGTTGGGCAGTGGGGTTGTCACACAACTCTCTAAGAGCTTGGTAATGCAGCCAGGTTCATAAGATCTACTCTTTTTAGATCTACATTTATTCCTTCAAATAATAAACACTGTCCAGTGGTACAGATATAGTGGAGAAAACTGTTGTTTTAAATGGAGAAACTGGCAAAATGTGTGTGGGAAATCTTTTGCGTCTGACTTGCTGTCATGTAGGTAGGAAAAATATTGTTGTGGTGCCATGGTGCAACAGAATGTCTCTTGACTCTACATTAAACACTGATCTGGCACCATGCAAACTGTTAAAGAATGGGTATCCTAAAAATACAAGACACTTTATGCTTTGGAATGACTCTTCCAAATGGTATTAGAAAAGCAGCCCAGTGATAACATTACCCAACTCCCGATCCAAATGTTATTCCAAAATACTAAAGCTGTGGCCTCATGTACAGCACTAAAGGAACCCGGGATATGTTGTCTTCTCTGCAGAGTCAGGGTGGCTGTCTGTGGGGCTGTGCAGTGAATCAAGCTAGGACCTGGTCCAGTGGAGCAGTTTTCTACCCTGTTCCCTGGACAAGCTCCCTGCCTGTGGATCAGAAACCAGCTTCCACGGATAGGAGAAATTCTGGCATTTCTCTGATATTCATCTTCAGCCCTCAGGTGATTGCTAGAATTTTCTTCGTTTGTTTTGTGGATAAGATACCTCTGCAAAATAGAAAGTAAGTTAACTCTTGTTTTTACACCACATGATTTTTCACCTAGAATCGGGTAGGTGTGTATGTTTGCCATTGCTGTCTTGGGAGATGTTGAACTTGATGCAGAACAACTGCATCAGACAATGAATGGAGACATGGGAGGAAGGGAAAATGTGTAGCTATGATCTCTCATCTGTAATACCAGATTGTTAAGATATGTTAAAAAATCTAAAAGCCATCATGTTTAAAATCACTGTCCGCATCCCAACCCTAAAGGAGCTCCAAAGATGAGCTTGAGAACTCTATTAGGTATCAAAAATAATGGCCCAGTGAAGACTGATTTATGTCATGTCATACATAATTTTCATTTCCCTCTGATATTCTGTAAGCAATAAGATGCCCTTCTTCCTTTGTAGACTAATCCCGTCAGCTTCTGCCTCCCCATCCCCAGCTGACCCTTTCTTAGGTTACTGAAGCAATCAACATCATTCAGCAGTTGGTACTGATTTATATTCACTTTTGAAGTTCAGCTCCTTTCCCAGGCCTGGTTAAGGACCTGTTTGCCTACCCCTAGATGTAGCAGGCACTGGTGGTCAAACCTCGCATCCTCAAACAGCTGCTGACTGCCACTGCCACTTTATCCATAGCTGTTTTAAAGCTGTTTAGGCCTTGCTGGTCTGTGCCTTGAGAGCTGAAAGGCTGCTGGATGTCTGTTGTGAGCTTGCAGTCTTCCTAGCTTTTATTGTTTTCCCTCCAATTTGTAGTCTAAAGTGCTTTAAGTCCTGTCAAAGGAACAACACACAGTGCCATTTATTCCAGCGTAAGTATTATCACATGCAATGGTTATTTGTGCTTCCTTGACTTATCTGCACATCTAATAGGCTGCACATCACCTTTGAAAACTCAAGCTGTGTTGTGTGTCCAAGTTCTACGGGAGCAGCAAGCTGTCTCATCAGGCTGTTGTGAAATGTCTCATTTATCTGAGCTGTCTTGACTTTTAAAGTGATTCTTCTCAAGACTTGTGCATGGAGTAACACCTAAATCTACTGGTTTTCCTCCAGGCATGTCAGGTTATTGCTTTAGATATGTATAAGCATAACAAGTTGCAACACTCTGATAGGAAAATGTGCTCTTACCAGCTGCTATATGCATTCTTGTACAGGCGATTCTGCAATCGGAAGCATAAACAACCCCTGGTTATTACTTAAATAATTGTTACTACTTAATTAAGTTGAAAGTCTCCTGAATGACACACAGAAAATAGGTTAAAATCCCTTTTCTTGTCACTGCTGAAATTCAGTTTGTAATGTTAGCACCTTAATTGGGACTACTTTGCTTTGGACTTAATGCTACAACTAAAGAATATGCAAATAAAAATGTCATGTTCTGTTACTGCTCCTGCAGTTTCCGAGGCTGTGATCTTGGGGCAGGGTGGTGTCTGCTTGTTTTGAGCTAGGCCATAATAATTACAGGGAGGATTGTTCTAATACTTGTCTCATAACTATGATTTGCCATTTCTTTTTTGTATGTTAATGCCAGTGGGTTTTGCTTTGTTTAGGCTGCTGGAGTTGGAAACATGCTTAGGAAGAAAAATCAATGTAAATTTAGCTTATAATTTAATATACATCTTTCTAAGCACAAAGAGTTTGTAGACTAGTCATGGCACAGCATTTTAACTCTTGAATGTTTAGCTCCAGCTTTGGATGAAACAGCAGGAAGCATTAAAGCACAGAAGAGCAAGGACTTCCTGTTAATTTACCTGTATATTTGCTTGGTGGGGTGTGTTCTGGGGTTTTGAATAGTTTTTGATCTTTGCTTGCTTCAGAGGCGTTAGTTTTCTTGCACTGCTGTGGGTATCTGAACAGGGTTATTTTATTTCATTTTATAGGAAGAAAATGGCCCAAACTACTGCACCAGCAACATCCATTCGTGATAAGGATTTCTCTGAAAGCAGAATGGTGATTACATTCCTCATGTCAGCACTTGAGTCAATGGTTAGTAGAGAAATTAAGCAGCTGCATCATTACTCTCTTGGCATGTGCAGGATTACACCACCACATTGCCTCCTCTGGGGAGCAGGAAAGGTGTAATTTCATCTTCACCTTACTGTGTGCTGTCCAACCTGCTGTTAACTCTGTCTCTTTGCTTATGGAAAATCATGCTAACAGTCTTAGCAATCATCTTGTTTCTTGTTGTGATGTGGTTGTTTTAAAAATTATTTTGTCAAATAAACAGGAAATAATTATTGATTGCTCAGGTAGAGTGTGGTTGAAAGGCAAGAATCTGTTCTGGTCTTTGCCTTCTGTAATACAGGGTGAATAAACGCTCTTGAGGCTAAAGCCTTGTCCTCAACTGCTGTACCAATTCAACAAAACTTGTTCAGAAAAGACGTTTGTATTTAGTTGGCCTATCATCCGTTTTGTAGAAGTTATTTAATCATTGTGTTGTGGGGTTTAAGTTTGGCCCAGGGCTGTGAGTAGAAATGTTTGCCCTGTTTTCATAAGGTTGAGGCACTGTCAAATATTTGGTTCTTTAAAATCATTTTCTTAAATGATAAGAACAAAAATTTCCTTTTTAGCAATGGAACTTGAATGGGATGGTTATAAAGTAATTGATTGCAAGCCTTTTTTTCCAATGTCTGTATTCAATTCCTAAAGGTTTTGTGTCACTTTTTGCTCTTGCGCTGCAGTAGGTGGTGTTTTTATAGGTTGCAGTAATCTCTGATTTGAGTTCCTAGGAGTAATTGACTTCTTGTGATCCCTTCTTGATGGTCTCGCTAATTTTCTTAGGATCTTTGCTCTCTCCCTGTGCCACAGGCTTCTTACTTCACTTCTTTGCCAGAAATTTCTCCCAGCAGAATGCATGTAGGCGTTCACAGGGAAGGTGCATTCCTTCTGCTCAGGAGGAATTCACCTGAGCCTGAGCACAGCAGGTGGGACGAGGCAGACTGCAGGCAGCTTTCCTGCTCACAACCACACCTTTCTGAACAAACATGATGTGTGATAAGCCTGCTGTGACTGAACAAACTCCTGTACGCTCTGTTGAAAGTTGCAGTAAGACACTCAATATAATTATCTAACAGGGAAGTGATAATTTCACATGGATTGATGTCATAAATCACTTTAATTAAAAACAGTGCAATCTCTGAGTCTACACAGGGCCTTAATTTCCCTAATGCATCTACAATGCTTTTAAGATTCCTGATGAAAAGCACTTCAGATGTATAAATTATCCTTTGCCAATCGCTGATGTTATGTTACTCGCAATACCTTCTGAAGGGTGGATGCTGGCAGCTGAAGTAGTAACTGTTTTACATGATACCACATATATTTCTATTAACTGTACTCTTAACTATAGTAATAAAAGCTTTTGTTTTTCTTTTTATAGTGTAAAGAACTTGCCAAGTCCAAAGCAGAAGTTGCCTGTATTGCTGTGTATGAAACAGATGTGTTTGTAGTTGGAACTGAGAGAGGAAGAAGCTTTGTCAATTCTAGGAAGGATTTTCAGAAGGATTTTGTTAAATACTGTAAGTTCCAATGTTGTGTTTTTATATTTCACAAGCTGTGTAATGTGTTTTGCATAATACTAATAACTTTTGGGAGCAAAGGTCTATATATCATGGCTACATGGTATAATTATGTTGACTATAGCAAAACCAGCTGTTTAAGAACATAAAAATGATCAGTAACAGTGGTCTTGTTTGGAGTGTTATTTCAACTGTGGATGAAAATGGTTTGTTTTTTTTTTCCTTACATAATGTGACAAACTAGTACAGAGAAGTATTAGACTTACACCACATCCTGCATTTCCTAGTACATGTTAATTTTTCTTTGCAATTCCTCTAAATCTTGCACTGGCAAAGGCTGGATGTCACATTCAACAGGTAGTGGACTTCTGTCAGCTCACATGGGCCTGGTTCTTCAGATCCCTTCATGCCTTATTAGAGCAGATGCACGTTTTTTGACAAGATATTTTTATGTAGCTTTTCTATATCACTGTTACTTACTAGACAGAAAGATGTATTTATATCATAATGACTTAAAATCACATCTGCATTACACACATCTAGGGTGTGCTTTTTGTTTAATTTCAGTTTTATAGTAAGACAGTGGGACTTAATGGTTTCATAAACCCTTATCTATTGAGTATAGGACAGTATTTTTAGGATATAGGTTTCAAGGTTTCAGACTCTTTCGTGAAGAATTGATGTGCTCACTTAGGAAAGTGATGTCGATGGACACTGCTCAATAACAAAGTTTACCTGCATAGGGAAAGGAAGAAGATGCAAGTTCAAGAACAGAGAGAAGAATCACTGGGGGGGGGGGGGGGGGGAGTTTGGGAGTTTGGGCAACAGCTATAAAATATTCTGGTTTGACTAATTAAAAACTGCTTGGAAAGCAACTATGTTTAACATGTAATAAACATTTGCTTCTCAGAATGCTTTTGTTGCTAGCTAAGTTTCTCCTGGAGGTTTTGTCTGGAGGCTGTTCGTTTGTGGTGAGGCTCTGGATTTTTGCCACTGTCCTGCTTGCTTGGACAATGACTTCGTGTGCAAAAGTATATTTACTCTAAGGAAAGACACCCCAATGTTGCATTGTAACAGATAATTGATATCAAAATGCAGAATTACAGCCTGACTGAGGCAGTGCTCCCATACTGGTATTTGTGAAAACTGTTAGCTGAATTATGGGGGAAGTTCAGTTTTTCACCTTATCTCCTCTTTTTGCTTGTTATTGTCCCTTAAAGGACTTCCCTGAGATCCTACATACTTTTTTTTATTGCCAGTACAGTGGTACTATGGGCCCTGATATACAGGAGACTGTATACTGGGTATATCCATTGGTAAGGAGTCTGAAATAACTGGGATTTGGTGTTTAATCCAGGGAAGCACTGGCTTCTCATCCGTGCTTATGTTTGAATGTATCGTGTCCATGTGTTCAAATTTTACATCAGAACTGATAATCCTGATCCTTTGCTTTACTCCAGTTACAAGATACTTGTTCTTGGGCAGTGATTTTTTATGCTGTCAGACTGATGAGATGAAACAGTATCCACTTTGGACACAGTGTTTTTGTTCTGCTTCTTGCAGAACATAGGGGCGTAAATCCGTCTGAATAAAGCCAACTAACCTCATTGCTATCATGATACGCACTTCACTAAGTGCGTATCCCCTGTTCTTCCTGGAGAGTTTTGGTGCTGGAGGTAGTTTCCTCCTGTTGCTGACAAAGGTGTCTATAATTCCAGAAAACCTGACTCAGAACACAAGTTTTTAGGAATAATAGCATTACATATTCCTGGTGATGCTGGTTCCATCACTGCCTCTGACAACTTTGAGGTCTTGATGAAATTTATAGTGTAATATCTTTTGATCCAAAACTTAGAACTGTGGAGGCAACAGTGCCTTTCCTTTAGCACCTCATGTCCTCAGTTAAATGTGAGAGCTAGCAATAGACAGTGTTAGTTGCAATTTTAGTAGGTCCTTTGGAAATGCCCAGGAAGGCCACAGTTCTGTGTGGTTTTAATACATTAGACTTGGGCCCTTTTTGTTCCTTTCTGATGGATAAAGGCTTCCAAGCAATTCTTACAGGGCTGTTAGAATGAAACTGTTAAAAATCCAGCTGGGATGTTGGCCTCTGGAACATGTGGTGCTGACAATATGGAGAATTAGCTCTCCACTTGTGTGGGTCTCTTAATTTCTCTGTAAATCTGGAAACAAGTGTGGCTACTAAGCATTCCTCTGGTTATGTTTGACTGTTACGACAAGCCAGCATGTGTCTCCAGTCCTTACTTCCGCTTTTCCCACAACTCTTGTGTGTAGTTCGAGTAAATATGAAGAGCTTTCCAGCATTTGGAGGGCTCAGGCTTCAAGCCTGCTGTTACTTTTAGTAATAAGTATAATTTAGCCCACTAAATTGATGAAATGTGCACATAAGCTTTATGAAGGTAGTAGCATCTATGCTTTCTAGGAGTATAGGGCAGATAAAAATAACAGCAGTTCAGTGGCAGCAGCACTGGGGTTGAGTTTCCTGTGGCTTTCATTCTTGAGGATTTTCACCCACATGGGTTTTCTAATGCCTAGTGCAGGGAAGAAGTCCTGCACATATCTCATGTACTGTGGTACCCTAAAAAAATGCATTAAAACAAATTATAGCAATGTTTTGGGCTTTTTAAAAAAATATTAATATGGGTTGTGTAGTGAGTGTTGAAGAACCAGTCAACAGGCAGTAATTATTTAAAATTGGGGCAGATAATGTATTCTTCTGACATGTGCTTAATGAAGAGGGCTGTAAGCCGTGTCTTACAGTGAAATGGTATGTTTCAATAAGTGTAGCACTGTGTTGTGCTTGTATGTATAACACGTAGCTTAAGTAACCTACAGTGAGTTACTCTAAGCCTGTGTAAGTTTATATTGTACATAAAAGTGTATTCTTCCAGTGCCTGCTTATATTCAGAGTATGGACAAGCATGGATACTTGTGCCCTGTAAGGAATCAAGATCATACACGTCTTGCTCTACCAGTGCCCCTTTGTTTTAGTTGAAGTCTACTGTGTGGTCCTTAGTTCCTCTTGGATGGCCTCAGCAAGATGAAGTGCCTCCTTGCTCTCTGGATTTCTGTGGAGTTATCATCTGTCCTGAACAGGAAGACCTGTTGCTGGCAGGTGTCTCAAGAATGCTGTTTGCTTCATATATTCATCTGCATCATCTTGGCAGTTTCCCTTGAGTTTCGGTTAAGGCTTGGTGTCAGCTCTGTGGAATTCACTCTCATTTGATTGGAACTGGAGGTGGTTTATAGCACAGACAAAAAAAACCCAACCAGATGAGACTTCATCATCCTCAGGTTGCATTTGACTGTGTCGTGGTTTAAACCCAGTCAGGCAACTCGTTCACTCACTCCCCCCCTTCTTTCCCTCCCCCTGCTCCTGGAGGGACAGAGGGGAGAATCGAAAAGAATGCACCTCCCACGGGTTGAGATAAGAACGGTTTAGTAACTAAGATATAACACAAATCACTACTGCTACTACCAATAATAACAACGATAAAGGAAATAACAAGGGAAGAGAATACAACATCTCCCCACCAGCCAACCGATAACTTGCCCCCCCCTCCGACCAAGCACTGACTGATATCTCCTCCAACCCTGCAGTCCCAGCCCTTCTGGCTGACTCCCAGTTACATCCTGGGCATGATGTGCTGTGGTATGGAATACCTTTTTTGCTAGCTTGGGTCGGGTGTCCTGTCTCTGCTTCCTCCTGGCTTCCCTTCCTCCCTGGCAGAGCATGAGGCTCACAAAGTCCTTGGCCAGACCAAAACATCAGGTCTAAAGTCAAAACATAGCACTGCACCAGCTGCCAAGGAGAAAAATGACTGTTAACTGCTGAACCCAGGACAGACTGTCAGGTGAATATCAGAACAGCTTCCTCATTTGAATACCTTTTTGGTCATCTGCTCTGGACTTTGAGAGAGATGTGTTTTCTGTAACATCTGCCAAGGAACTGATTGTTCTCCAGGAATCCTGGTTGCCTCTGCTAGCATTTCCAGTGGTCCCGGCTGTTGGACCGTTGGTATGTAGGTCTCACAGAAACATAATCCTGTGAGTTCTGCAACTTTCTGTCAGCTCTCTCAGTGATGCTGCTTTTTCCTTCTGTGGTGCCAGGGCTCTGGGCTCACTTGCCTGAGGTGGGGCCATCTTGCTTCTGTAGGTGGTTCATCTTGGATGATAGGTTCTTTATTAGCAGCCTTCATTTTCCTTCTAGTGGCCTTATGTTTCCATGCTGATCTTAACTGCATCTGATACGGGCCAGAGTTTGGCTTCAAGTCCTGCTAGAGACTTTATTTCAGCGTCTTTCATTCTTTTTACCTGTACCTGCATGTCCATCCAGCCACAGGTTGTAAGAACTCCTTGTAGCTTCAAGAATGCTTAGAATCCATATGTTTTTAATGGGCACAACTGTTCCTCCTGCTCGTGATGAAGGAATGGCACACGATGCTCCAAGGACCTTTTGGGAAAGATTGCTCAGCTTTGGCTCCTCAGTATCTTTGGTGTGTGGATTACTGTTCCATTTTGGATATTCTTCATCATCTGTAGGCAAGTAAAATGACTCTTCGCATAAACTAGGTTGCTGGAGCATCTGTAGCTAGGCTTCTGTCTCATTGAATTCTTCTGGCCTTTGAGCAAATACAAGTATCAGGTTTTCTGGGGAGGTCTTCATCTGACATTGTGCTCCCTTATCTCTTTCTCTGTTACTATTGTAATGCTTCAGCAGTTTAGAGGTGGATGGAAAAAGCAAACAAAACCAGAAACCTGAAAGGCTGGTTTAAAAACAAAACAAACTCAAAACTGGCAAGTTCTGAACTGGACTGGCAACTGTTTGACTACTTTGGCCTGCTGTAATTTCTGTCTGAATACCTACAGTTGGCATTTCTGGGCTTGCAGTAGCTTGCCCCAATAGTCTAGAGAAGATTAAGCATCTCTGGCTGAAGTTATACCTCATCTGGGGTCTTAGTATGGCAGATGTCAGCCTCCTA